AGTGCACCTAGCTAGTTAAATACCCTTTTCTTGGGATGGAAATATGATATATTTGGCAATGATTGGACGGTGGAAAAAATTAGAATTAGAATTAGAAATAAATATATCATTTCCATTCCCTAGTCCACAAATGTAGCTGTCCTTTGACCTCTATCTATATCTCTACCTGGCCCACTAGTCATGTCGACTGGACTTTTGACAGATCTGAAGCCCAAACGATCATTGGCCCCTTAGACATTGATGGGCTTCTGTCAGGGCCCATCAGTTTATCTATCCATCTGCTTCCATGGTGTTTTCTTTCTGAAATTAAATTATGCTTCAATACTCTTAAGTAGGGTTACAATGAACAAGCAAAAAATACATTTAAGAATAAGTAACCATATCAACTTGCTACTGATAAAATTAAGGTACGAGGGTGACATGATATGAAATCTTTGATGGCCGAAGGCTACCCTTCAATCTTTGTTAGCCCGAATCACCTGTCTCAATATATTTATTATTTAATGAGGATCGGAATGGGCTCAAGCGTATGTGTCAAGATCCAAAAAAAAAACCACCACCCCATGCCGCCAGCTGGGCTTTGTTCGACAGAGGTCCCATTATAAGTTTACTAAGCGATGGATAAAGCCCATATTTTGCTCACAACTCACAAGGGCCAATAGCCCAATACCCAGTAATGTTAAAAATCATAAAGATTAAATAAAAATTGATAGTGCTCTCGTTGAGAGTCGAACTCAAGACCTCCCGCTTACTAAACGGGTGCTCTAACCAACTGAGCTACGAGAGCTGCTTGATTGAAATCCCAATGTTGTTTTTATAAGCAATACAGTTTATTGAGTGATGTGCCTTTGGGTTGCTTGTTCTGCGTTCTGTTTTCTTACTTCCAATCAGTCATGTCAACGTGTGTGGCCCTCGGAAGGAAGTCCTGAAATGAATATGCACCGCAAATTGTAACACCAAAAGAAACAAGATTGTTCTAGTCCCCAAACTTACGAGTCGTAAACAATTTTACCCATATCTATTTTACTATCAAACTCAATAAACTTATGAGTTGTAATTAGGATTTAGGAATGACCATTTTAACTATACTCATTGGTATTTTACTATTCAATCAAATTGGGTCGGGTTTGTAATGCAAATATATGCTGGATGGGTAGAGTTTGATGGATTTGTAACGGTACTAATTTACTTGGGTTATGTTGGGTTTTTGACAAATGAATTTGGGTTTGTACTCATGTCCAAATGCAAATTACAGTTTGGTATCTAAATTTAATATATATGCATATTTAGTACCTAAATTGATTTCTTTTATATATAATTCCTCAAAATATCTATGGAAAATTACATTTTAGTACCTAAACTTTTTTGTCTTACATTTTGGTACCTGGACTTTTCAAGTTTACAAATATGTCCAATTTTTGTATGTGTAGTTAAAACAACCTCAAGTAAATGGATATACATATCCAACTCATACCCATTTAGATTATGGAAGCAATATTCAAACCCCCAAACCCATACCCTACCCATAATGAGTGGGTCTACTTAGGTTTGACCAAAATTGCCCATAGGTGGGTAATTGTCATCCCTAGTTGTAACTAGATAGATTACCAATTCCATTAATATCACAACTCTAGCAACAAGAGTGTCTTGCAAATGAGTATATTGTTTGTAGGGATGGCAAAAATATCGGAAACCGTGGATATCCTCTCGAATTTGACCTAATTGGGTAGGGTAAAACTCGAACTCGAAAGATTTTCAGTGGGTATGGGTAAAACCCAAACCTGAGTATTGCGGGTAATAGATGAGCATGGTTTTTTCACTATCCAATCTGAACCTGCCCGATTATACACATGCATATGTATTTTGTATAGAAATGATAATTATTTTTCTCAATGTATCTTATATTTAGCATAATTAGCATACAAATATAATATGTTCATGAAATTGTGTTGTTTGAAATTAATTTTCTATATTCTAGTGAATTGATGTCGTACTTTCCACTAATGTAATGTTGGTATACGTGTGAAAGTCATCATATTGATTGGAGTTATAAAGAGAAAGTATTACCCATGTATAACCGTGGACACCCAAAATCCAAACAGGTATGAGGCATGGTTTGGATTTTCTACTTGATTTTTATATGAGTATAGGTATGAGTAAAACCCGAACTGTTTTGAGTAGGGTAACGAATATGCATTATACGCCACCGACCCAACCCATTATCATCCCTAATTGTTTGTCAGCGTTTAAAACTTTATGATCCATGTAAAATTTATATAGAGTTCATCTCTAATTAGTTATACTACATGTGCAATTGATTTTGTTCCAGTATGATATTGTGAAAGTAGAACATTGAGAACATGATAAAACTTGTATTTAATTTATCTTAACGACTCTCTGATTGAAGTGGGTTCATGTGCTGCTGTGCCTGTGTGCATGGTGTTCAAACACAAATGTTCATCATTTACTTAGTTAGTGGATTAAGAAGGTAGATTCTGAATGAGATACATGTTCAAACATAATAAGTAATAAGAAATGATAAATCAGTTCATTTTAATTTTATTGCTTAATTTGTAATAAAATAAAAGATTGTGGACCATTATCGTAACTAGTCAGGTCGCCAACGAGGCCCTTTTCTGCAAATACATTTTTTTCAGAAGAAAAAAAAAAAACGAGAAAGAAAGAAAAAGGCAAGTTATCTGGCTGAAATAGAAGGGGAGAGCCAAACCGAACAGTACTGTGAGGTGAGCCAGTGGGAAAGCCGAGCTGCGGAGTTGGTGGAGAAGAAAGAAAGAACGCACGAAACTTCTCTCTCTCCTCCATTTCCCGGTTCCTTCCTCACTCTCTCTCTCTAGGGTTTTGCTTCCCCACCAAATCCTCGATCAAATTCCGACGAACCCACCTGCCAATTCTCCGCAATTTCGCTTCTTTCCTCTGTCCGCCGATCAAACGGAGATCAGCTTCCATCTGGGCTTCGATCTAGGGAAGGGACGGCAATCGGACGAGAAGAACCCGAGTTTTCTAACTAGTTTCCGAAATGGCTTCCGACACATGGGGCTCCCGATTCTCCACTACTCGCCGCTACCAATCTCGACCTGGTCAGTTGGAGAATATCTACGCTTTTGATTGTTTTTCTTCTTTTTCTCTTCCCATACCGGGAAATGGGTTCATAGCTGATTTTGCGAGGTGGGTGTTGTGACTGTAGATCCATTTGAGGAAGGGGAAATGGAAGATGATTCCAAAGCTGAGTTCTTGTGCCCGTTTTGCGCCGAGGATTTCGATATTTTGGGGCTGTGTTGTCATATGGACGAGGAGCATCCCGTCGAGACCAAAAATGGGGTATCTATCTCCATTACTTCGCATCATTATCCCCTTCTCTCTCGTTTTAGTTTGTCACTGACTGTGAAATATGTTTTACAACTTCCTCGTTTTGTGGACTAGCTTGTTAATGTAGTCCTAATGCTTTTAGGATTGGGATTTCCTTCTCATTTCCTCAGTTGATACATTTTGGCTGCCACGGTTCCTTCGTTACTGTCTTTAGTTGCAGTCGAATGCTAGGAAAAAGTGTTTGAATGGTGTTCCTTGGGGTGGCGTGATCGTGTTTCGTTCTGATTCTGAATGGATAAGTTGTCTCTTAGGCACTCACTTCTGATTTTGTTGCTTATGTATTCAAAGAGATAAGCATGTGCATGCAAGGATCCTCTGTTTCGTGTTACCCTTTGTTGTGAGGCTGGTTTGTCATTGAATTCTTATTACTGATTCTTTGCTGCTTCTGTTGTTCCAATTGTTGTGCTTCAGGTGTGCCCTGTCTGTGCTAAACGAGTGGGAATGGATATAATCGGCCACATCACTACACAGCATCAGAACTTCTTTAAGATATCCTTTGCTTGTTGAAAGTGGTTCTCCTTGTGCTTTTAAAGTGGTTCAGCTACTGATACACATAGGATAAACGTTCTGCATTTTCATCATGAAATTTGGAGCATCTCCATCTCTAGCTAATCTTTCCATTTTAGTTTTACTCTAAGATGGGCGATTGTAAAATTCATAATAATACCTCAACAACCTACGAATTTACCTTTACTCTATCTGCATTCTTGTTTGTTCACGTACATGGGATTCCTTGACTTCAGCCTCACGTGCAGCGCAAAAGAAGGTTGCGTAAAGGTGGATCCAACTCGCCATTTGCGATATTGAGGAAAGAACTCCGCGATGGAAGCTTTCAATCGCTGCTTGGTGGATCTTCGTACTTCGTCTCGAGCACAGAGCCTGACCCACTGCTCTCATCCTTCATGTTTAGTCCTGCTGGGCTCAATGAGCCGAAGTCCATTCCCCCTACTGCTGCTACAGATGTTGCAACGAGTCCAGCAATGGTTAATGCGATCGAGGAATCTCTAGAAAGGTATAACTCCTTGGCTCTTCATTCTATTAACTTACATCTTGTTTCGATACTCCATTCGTTGTGCCTCCTGTTGATCCAACGGCCTACTTCTCGGTCATAATACACGTCTAACTAGTACCTTTAAAATCTAACTCAACGTTATTATGTCCCCTTTGAATACGGACCCTTCTCTCATGGTGATTTCATTTGGACATTGACAGGGAGGTCGAGCCATCATCAAAAGCGGTATCAGACAAGGACCAAGAGGAGAGGTCTCGTCGATGTGAGTTCGTTCGAGGATTGGTGCTCTCTACCATCCTAGATGAGTTATGACTGAGTTACCTGGGTGTTGTTAAAATGGAAAGATGTACTCTGTCAAGTCTTTGTAGTATATATATAATGAATGGCGCAATGAGATGGGGAGAGGGGAAAATGGCCAAAAGTGTCCATTTCATGCTTACCTAGTGTACCAATGACACAGTAATCATCAATCCAGATATGTAATATAATATATATCTACATATAACTATATGATTATATAAATCTTAATAATTTTGAAATGTGGGGCAGAGCCAAGATTTGCACCAATGTGAACCAGGAGATATCAAAACAAGCAACAGTTGTGGATAAATTAAACAATCTTGATCTTGACAATGTCATAAGAACATGTCTGAATCACATTATTAAACATCATTGAAAGAGCCAAAGGGCTATACAACCTGAAGGTACAATGTTGTGGATATTAGCAAGACAAGGTGATTCTAGTATTCTACAATAGCTTGAAGGGCCTTTGCGATATTAGCAAGACAAGGTTGAGAATCTTCCATTTTCAGAAATTCGCTGTGCAGAATCTATCAGCAACAATCCATATCTAGCATCCACAGAAGTAATCTTAAACACAAGTTCTTAATAAGAGAAGAAAGAACACCATGAAATAACTAAATCAAACTAGTTTCCAATACATTAAGATGGGTGGCGCTCCACTATTAAACCCCCCATCCATCCAAACAACTACACCATACATAATGTACCGTTCATTCATCTCTGAGTGTAGTTCTAAGTAATAAACAGCTGTATATACACAATTCCATCATATCTTCTTCTTCATCATCATCATCTGCTAAAAACCTTATTTAATGTAAGAAACAGGAGAAGTCTGTAGGTTTCCCAAATATATAGTAGACTGCCCACAGGGTAGACCACAAACTTATCAATCCAGGGGGAAAGCAGCACCTCATGTATCATCTCCAAATATGAGAGATTCCCTGTGTACAAAGCTATAAACTACACATGGTATTTATGGCCCCTTTTTATTCCAAAGGCAGACACTTTTTCATCACCCATATGAGTTTTTCAAGCTTCAGAAGAAGAAATCCTGGAGATAAACACCTTGGAAATATATAGTTTTTCTTCCTCCCTCAAACAAGAAGTGACAACATTAATATTGGAGCCAAAAGCATAGAGCAATGTGCGATCGAAATGGGTCTCTCTTCCAGGGTATTAAAAAGGTGCCACACAATTACCTTTTCCAAACTTCCAGGTATCTTAAAATGGTCCAACCCAGACAGATACCTCTATCACCGCCAGACAGATACCTCTATCACCGCCAGCTAGAGCTGTGGGAAACAAAGAACATGTAGTCCGGATGATGCACTTGAAGAAGCCGTAGCCAGGTTTCAGCAGCACGCTGAAGTGAGTTCACTTTCGGGTCGTAATCTCCATTTGGGTTCCAGAATGAAACCTTCAACTTATAAGAAGCGAGACCAAAGCTATATAGAGATAGCTTGGAAATGTCGGCAGATTGAGCATCCATCCGGGTGCCGTTAATTGGCAGTCCATCTGTGTTTCGACCTGGGACAAGGCGAAAAAGAGAAAGCTAGGTCACGATTGATCCAGACATATACTATTTGGTTTGATTTAATAATGGACTGGGCGAGCAATGAATTGATCAGCATTGGAACAAATCAAGACCCAATCAAGGTATAATTTGGATTCAGTTTTGATTCTCGAACTCAACAAGTACACTTTGTTTCAACTCCATTGTAACCCCTCACAAACAGAAATAACTGAACTAAACATGGGCAGGCCACAGATACCGATCCTCAAATTTTCATCCTCTTTGCATATTGTTCCCCAGAAAAATAACTGAATATGAACCTGTTAATAAGCACATGCACCAGAGGAAATAGAAGTTACCTTGAAAGGAGGAAGGTGTTGATAGAGAATGGAATGTCAAAAAGCAGGCATCCAGATTCTGCAACGTTGGACCAGTAGGTATCCTGTATATAGGGTACCAGGCCACAGATATCCAACTGGAGGGAGAGAGATCACAGCTTTTGCACGTTTTGAGTTCTGGGAACTGAGAAGCAAGGACTGTAATCTGTATGCCACAAAGTTTCAAATGTTAAGAGACATGATGTATGAAAAAAGTATATTACCACAAGCTTGGTGACAAGAATATTACCTGGTCTGCCAATGGCTGGCGATGGAAAGGTGATTCATGCTCCATATACTCAAAGATGAGTTGACCAGGGTGATTAGAAACCTCACTTTCATCACTAGATGATGCCCTAGACGGCTTACTTCTCAAGGGAAGTCCATTTAGGTTTGGCACATTAGAATCAAAGCCATTTTGCTGGTTCCGTGGCCCCGATGCACCATGTTTTACTCCTCCATAATCACTGCTACTGTCACTACTTGTTTCCCGGGAAGATTCTGTATCACTATCCTCACCGTGCCTGCAAAATGATGGAACACACCGACACATCATGAATACTTGCTGACTGGCAATTGGATTTAAAACTCAATAAGAAGCAAGACAACAGGTTGTTCAAGCTGTAAAATACAAGATATATTACAATAATCCAACTGAGGAGCTAACAAAAATAAATCCAAACAGATTAAATTAAAAATTTCTTGCCATAAAGCTGGTTTAATGACTGCTGTGGCAGGCATTTCAATGCAATACTCGTTAAACTGTTACAACTTAATTCCTAGATATGTAATCTTGAAATGTAAGGCATTGCATTGCATGTGGCAGATTTCATGCCTGACAAAGTCTGAGCAAACTAAAAAGGCACAAACGATTGCCTTGAAAGAAGGCATTCAACAGAATCTACAGAACTGTTACCAGAATCTAGCTATCCTATCTAGTGTAATAAGCAATCGAACCATGCAGATTGACATTGAACTGACACCCATAACACAGCAGCAAATTGCTGTTCCAACTAGAACAAGAACCAGGATAAGAAACCAGCCGCCAAACACCCGAAAAAACCAGAAGACAGCAAAAGGAGAGAACTCTCGCATTCAAAGCAGCACAAACAATAATAACCAGTCAAATATCACCAAGAAGCCATTAGGCATATTGAACAAACGCAAAATTTAAGATTAAAAAAACAGCCAGAAAAGTAGTAATCACCTTCGCCTTGTGGATTGTTTTGACGAATCTTTGTACAGCTGAATGCCGGAGAGGTAAGGGACATAATACTGGATGACAGTTTCACTGCCATTCAAAAGGAGGGGAACTCCAACACCATATGCACTCCACTCCTTCAAAGACTCCCACAAATCACCCAAAACAAAGTAGGGCTGTTGGTGATGCTCCTCACCTCTTCTCCATCCTTTAACGCTAGTCTACAAAACCAGAACACTTGAATCTATCAGGCGCTTTAAGTAGTGAAGCACAGAAAGACCAACTCGCCATTTGAGTTCATTAAGAGTCTGTGGTATACCCATGGTGCTTAATCTGTTATTCATTACTCAACCCAGTAATGCTCAATTGACCATGAGCTCAGTACGTAAAACCACGAGTAATCAAACAGCACAGAAGACTTTCGAAGTAAAACCCTTTAGAAACTCGACCCCACAGAAATGAAATGCCCAAAGACCAGATTAGATCCAGAAGCAAAGACCTTTCCATTTACAGTAAGTTAAAGAGCACTGCAAAGAGTGAAGAAGGACGAAAAGCAAACACATCCAGGAAACGAATCCATGATAGTCCCCAACCAGAAACTAGGGGCTACCTTAGGGAGCATTTGCGCAGCAACCACGGGAGTGGTGAACTCCAAGAACCGATCCAAATTGGTGTGTACACCATCCGTACTCGGTCTCCCAGGGACCGACGAATTTGAGGCTGTGGAGGAAGTAGAAGACGAACGGCATTGATCGGCGTCTACCCTCTTCTCGATCTCATGCGGAGTACCATTCATCGGTGGATTCGCCGGCTTCTGCTGCTGTTGCTGTTGATGCTGCCTTTGCTGTTGCTGTTGCTGTTGTTGCTGCTGAATACTCTGCTGATGCCTCCTTCTCTGCTGCTGCTGCTGAAGCTGCTCATGCGGCTTGCGCATGGCTGGGGAGACATAGAATCGGCCGTCCCCGCGGGCTCTGGCCGTCGTAACTCCACCGGAACCCGACATTTGCTAAAGGAGAAGAAAACGAAGTCGCGAAGCAGCAAAAACACGAGATGACGGCACAGAACCGGCGCCAAGAGCCTCTATCCGTCGGCCAATTCAGCGATTAAAACAAACACAAATCGGCGATGGAAAACCCCAAAAGAGACAAGAGCAAGAAGAAGAGCAGTATATGCGTTTGAGAAGTCCGGTGAAGTACTGGGTGGCCGAGAATCGAGACTTTCAACTCGGGACTCGGCGTTCAAGAAGAGGTTTAGGAAGGAAACGAACTCAGGCGCTCGGGGGTCGTTGACGACGGCGGCGGTCGTCGGGGGATATGGGTCCAGAAGAGATGCGGCAGTTCGAGCGAAGAATCGACGGACGTCAATCTCTTCCTCTTCGTCTTCCTTTTTTCTTCGGTTCGGCGAATCGCTGTCTTCGATTTCGCGTCTGAGTAGTAACAATTGAATGATTAGGGGGATGAATTTGGGGGAATTTCTAGGGTTGTTGGTGTTGCTTTGGTTAGATTGATTTTTTTTCTTCTTTATCGTGAGGTTTTTTTGTTTGCCTTGCGCTTGTGTGCGTGCGTATTTCTTTATTATTTTATATTTTTTGGGGGGATTTTTTATGGGTTGGGCCTTGTCCGGACCATTATTGGGCCCAAAGTTTCTTTCGCAAAGAGGGGGAATATCTGAATATACCGTGTTGATGTCATGATGATGCGGTACATATGAGATTTTTCTGGTACTTAAGGAGTCATTTTAAAACTTAGCAAATTCCTACAATATGTTATAAGTTATTGTAATTTAATGTATTGACCTGCTATAACAGGTTTCACAAGTCGCATTACATAAAAGAGAAATTTTACAATGCTATATAGTATTGGTGCTATAGGGTTTTGCCTTTATGGTACAACTTAAAATTGTCCATTTACGTTATGGTACAACTTCAGATTGTACCTATACTTTTTGTACAAATTCTTTTATGGTACAACTTGAACTTGTACCTTTATGTGATGGTACAACTTCAAGTTGTAAAGTTGTACCATAACATAATGATACAAATTATTTTATGGTACAACCAAAACTTATACATTTAATGTTATGGTACAACTTTAAGTTGTACATTAAAGCACCAATACTATATAGCATAGTAGAAGTGCTCTACATAAAATACAATAGGCATTACGTAATGGTTACGTAATGTGTGTTTATCTTACGTACGTAATAGTTGGAAAATGTCATTACGAAAACCTTAAGTAATAGACACTCATTTTACGTAATGAATATTAATCTTTCGTTACGTAATCTGTTAAATCATTACGGGGGACTTACATAAAGTTTCTAATTTAACTGTTACGTAAGAAATAACTATCGTTACATAAACTTTACATAATAAAAGCATACTTTACATAACAATTGTAAAGTGGCATTATGGAAGCCTTACGTAATGGATGGTCTTTTTTTACGTAATGAATATTAATCAAGTTACATAATATGGCAAGTCATTACGGAAGTCTTACGTAACACTTCTAATTTAACTGTTACGTAACACTTTTGCGTAATGAATATTAACCTAGCGTTACGTAAAATGATAAGTCGTTACGGAAACCTTCCGTAATGCTTCTAGTTTAACTGTTACGTAAGACTAACAAGCATTACGTAATTGTTATGTAATAAACATTACTTTTACGTAATGAGACCTATTAAACCTGTTATAGCAGGTCAAAAAGGTCAATTTATAGTAACTTCAAGGCATGGTCGGAGGTCCACTAAAACTTATATTGTAGACTTTCAATATTCTTATCAAAGAACATTATTTTCATTTAAATGCTATTGATTAACTATCATATATTCACTTACTAAAACAAACACCATTAGGTCACTAACTATTATCATTTTAAAAGACAGTTATATTTAATTTTTTATGATCAGATGGGGTAAAATGGACGATGAAAGGTTTTGTAGTTTATTTTTTCGTAGATTGACGATAGTTGGACACCATGCAATGATTTCGAGATTCATATGAAGATTGAGGTGTGTAAACATTTCAATACCTTCCAATGGTTGAGTCATAAAAGAAACATAAGGTGTATGAACATCTCATAACTCGTAGTCAAAATTTTATTCACCTACCTCTCATAACGTTCATGCGCTCAGTACTCAAAATCATGCACGTCGAGAACACAAATGTTGACTTGCGAGACTGTAAATTAAAGATGCAAATATGAATTTGGCGGAGCAAACCAAAGTCACAACTATCATCGTTAGGAGAGAGAGAATGTGACTATGTGAGCATAAAAAAGAGTGACAGAGTGTATATGTTATACGTTACTTGGTTGTGTATTTGTTGGTTTAGTGTTATATTCTTCATTATGGAAAAAAAAAACTAAATGGATGTGATATATGTTACATCTTCGGAAGATATTACATTGACAGAAACATGTAAGAGAGATATGAATCATAAGAAATAATTCAATTTTAATCAATAACACGCTTTCTGAGATGAAATTGAAGACTTATTATATGAACTCTGATGTTAAACGTGTTGCAGATGAAACAATGTGAATATGAGTAATATTAGGAAGTCACCATATGCAACCAAACCAAAAACCATGTCAAACCAAACCCAAAGAAGCCAATATTGTTAGTAAAAAAATGGTTGGATGTTACACTATTCTTATATTAATAACATTTTTATACAACTAAAATGCTCACATTTGGTTGTAATCATATCTACCTTTTATAAATTTGTTTCACTATCAGTAGTTGCGACCATAAAAGCAAAGGAAGGCATGAAAAAATGCATCGAAAAGCTCTCTCCTCTCTCCTCACTTTTTGCTGGTCGGCGATTGTTTGCCTGCTCACGGCGACCGCTGGGATCATCTCAAAGTCGATTGTTTATATCTTGGATGTAGCGCTAGCAAACCAAGGAATCGACTATAGCTTGCGCCAAAGATGGGATCAAGGGAGTGTCCTGGAGCATTTTGCTACGAGTACAGAGTCGCATACCTTTCACCGGAGAATTCCAGAAACTTCTTCGTGCAAACCCAAGCGCAAAAGGCAGCTGACCGTGGAAATCACCCACAGCGGCAGTCGAGCAGAGAAGAAAGCGAGACGTCAGGGTTGGAGATTTGTTATTCCTTCTTCCGATGAGTTAGATTGGGAGGAGCAGGTTTGCCCAAAGGCTTCTAATAGGGATAACACTAATAGCATAGATATGCGAAATGTCTCTAATTCGACTGAATTCAGATCCCAGACTGGGGCGAGGTCGGTCGGTATGAAAAAATGGAGCTTCAAGCTCCCATCGTCAGATGAACTGGATGGGGAGGACGAAATGGAACTGCTACCAGGCCCTGTCCCTGTTCAAGATTTGGTAGACGATGTAAATGATTGGAAAATAGAATCAGGACTCAGATCCCGCAATGGGGCGAGGCCTGGGGACCTTAGGGATAGTCAAAGTCAAGGGCTCGCTGGGATCGATTTCGGTCCGATGACCCTTTTCCGACCGGCCAATCTTCGGCGATCTCCAGGTCGAAGATGCCCCACTGCGAGTTGGACTCTTCCGGCTCGCTTCGTATCCCGTCCTTTTCGATTTGGGGATAGGCGATCTAACCGCCAACTCTTTTCTAAAATTCAAAACAGAGGTGCGGGATTATTCGCCCCAACTGAATGTAACGGGTGTATCCAGAGTCTCCTAAAAGTGAAAGAACTCTCGCAAGTACCTGTCTCCCAACCATCACAGTGCTATTTAATACGGCCTCCCGACCCATTCTTGTTCATCTGCTCTCAGCAAAAGAACAAGTGGAGGGAACGACGTTACAAGGCATCCCGTTCGCGGCAAAGTGTCCTCACTGGTGAGTGGTTGTTGTCACTGTTGGACATTCATTTCTGGGTAGTGTCAGATTCTATCCCCTCCCATGATATCCATTATATACTTTGGAGCTTCCCTTGGTCATTGATGATCACTGTGGGACAACCTCTGATATATGAATCGGATCCTCTGTTTATGCAGGGGAAAGACATGGCTCGTGTTAGCAAAGATCAAGTAGTGGAGTTCTCGTTGGATGAGGTCCAAGCAAACCGAGCTCCCAAATCTCGAATGTTGATCGGCCGTTTATTCTCTGCTGACCGGCTCCCCCTACATGAAATTCGGGATGCGGTCAATCGTCCATGGCAGGGCCAAGGACGTATTATCGTCCGAGAGCTGAAACATGATCTCCTTGAGTTCACCCTCCCGTCGGACGAAGCACGAAACTGGGTGCTGCAGAGAACGCCTTGGATTGTCGTGGACAGAATCCTGCACTTGCGGGCATGGACTCCGGCGGTGTCCCAACGCACATTTGATGATCTGGCTTGTGCTCCCTTCCGCGTCCAGCTCTGGGACGTGCAGGAGGAGTGCTGCACTCATCAATTCGGCCGCAAGATTGTCAATTCAATGGTTGGCAGAGTGTTGGAAACAGGGATCTTCTCATGCTCTTCCACGGCGCGGAAGTTCCTCAAGGTGAAGGCCCTTATTGATTTCTCGAAACCTCTTCGTTCGCAAATCCTGGCAACAAATGATGAGATGGGCGGGTTCTGGATCCGGTTCAAATATGAGTTCCTGCCTTGTCTCTGTTTCAAGTGCGGCAGGGTGGGGCACTCCCGCCAGGCTTGCACCTTTGATCCGCCTACGAGAAAGGAGCGATTCGGGCCCCATCTTTCAACTAAAAACATGGGAGTGAAGATCTTCGACGGGGAGGAATTGCGGAACCAAAGCCGCCGTCATCCGAGCTCTGTCTGGGTAAACCCTGATGCTCGCAATACCCAGGCGCAAGAAGCGGCGGAACGACGATCTTCGAAAAACCAGACACAGCAGGCGGCAACCTTCCTTGGACCGGTGGAGAGCCCACTATGGATGGGGACCTCTGAGGAACCATTCAAGACAACCGAGGCCCAAAACAACAAGGGCCGAAGTCCGGGCCGAGTCCACTTAGCCAGAAGCCCAAGAATTAATCTGGGTCGCCAAGCTCGCAGGGGGAAGGCTAAAGTTGGGCCCTCGGCTGACCCAATGGAAATAGATGGCCCAGCCAACCTGCACAAACTGGCGGGCCGAGTTAATGTTCCCAAAACCGCAACTGGTGGACCAAAGTCTGGTGGTCGACCAACTCAAGCCCAACAAGGAATGGGCCAGCCCCCTGTGCGGAAACCAGTTGCGGTTGATGAGGCGGCGTATCCGGGGCCGGAAGAGGACTGGTCGCAGGCCTGGTCGACAAGCGATCCGCGCGGCGGAACAGATGAGAAGTCGGTCGCCGGTGGAGACTGCTGATGATGCCTCCCGACGCCGCAGACTAATTCTGGAGGATGAATCCGAAGAGGAATTCGTCGTGCATGAGATTCCAATTCCTGGGAAGGGGAAAAAGCCGTCTTTGCTTGACGAGCAGATTGGTAACCAGAAGGACCAGATTGTGGATGCTATTCCTTTGCGGATGATCCCTCCGGAGCCGAGCTGCGTAGCTCACATGATCCCTCCCCGCAAGTCTTCGGATCCTGTTCAAATCCAGGACCCTCGGGCTGATTTGGGCCGC